CAATATTGATTGTTCGGATCACTGGTATCTAAGTCATCCGTTGTGTTATCTTGTACTTTGTATTGAGAGGTCGGTTCTTGTTCTGGTCTGCACGTTACAGTATGCAACAGGTTGGTATCGGAGCGGACCTCTCGTTCAGAGGACCCGCTATTAAGTAGCCAGCTTGCTGATCTAGTGATCATTCGTTAGTAACGCAAGTAGGACTTAGTCAAATCTCTGGAAAAAAAAATTCTCGCAACAACTATCTGAAAATTTCTGATATTCGCATTTCGTTTTACCTGAAAATTTCTGATAAATCGCATTTCGTTTTGTCTGAAAATTCCCGATACTAGCTTTTCGTTTCTCTAATATTTGGCATACATAGCTGAAATTTCTGAAGTTAGTATTTCGTTCTCTAGGCATATTGGGATAACGATAGAAGTGGTCATATTCTTGGAAACTGGAATTATTCTTTTCTGAAAATCGAATTTCCATTCTATCTCACAAATTTTTTTTTGAAAACCGAAATCTTGCGAAGCTTACCAGTATTGCGTTAGGCATATTCGAAGTTTGTTATATTCTCAAAAATTGGATTTCGTTCTTTTTCTGAAAATCGCATCTTTACTCCATTTCGCAAAAAAAATTTCAAGATCGCAGTTTGTAAAAGCCGAAACTTTGCGGAACCTAGCCTAGATCTCGTTCATAGTACTCTTCTGTCATGTCCTACTCATAATAGATCGACAGATATACCTCTTTTATTTTTTATTTTATTTTATCTGTTGATTAGGGCCGGAGGAAAGTATTGTTGGGTTGGTTTCCTACCTGCGTTTTCCCTCCCACCCACCCCTTTGCATGCATTTCCGGGTTGGTATAGTGACACGTCAGCTACAGTGACACGTCAGCAGTGCCACGTCAGCAGTGCCACGTCAAACACAGTGACACGTTAGCTACAGTGACACGTCAGCAGTGCCACGTCAGCAACATGACGGGCCTGCCAGGCCAACTGGCCAATGAGCCCATTGCCAACTACAAAAAGCGCTTCCATGCTCAGCTCGCTTTAATCGAGGTTGAGGAACAGCCAAGGCTGCCCAGCTACAGGTTGAAGAAGCGGCAACAGCAGAGAAGCTGCGGCTACGGGCCGAAGCAGACGGAGATGCCCAGGCTTGCAGCGGCATGAAGCCAACAGCATCGAGAGACTCAAGTACTGGCATTTTGAACCGAACGGCGACGAGGCAACATCGGAGCACGAGGATGCCACACGGGCACTGGACGCCCGTGTACAGGACTTGGAACAAGTTTTGCCAAGACCAGATGCTGGGGCTTCCAGCAGTGCATCCTCTAGCCGCCAACTGGAGGAACGCGTTGACCACGTAGTGGCAATGCTCGGCAACATCAGCACCTTCGCTGCGCCGACCACCATCAGCAGTCAGCTGCATACCTTGAAGACCGAGTTCCAGCAGCTGTAGTCGTCGAACACGGATGGCAATCCTAAGTTGTACAAGATGCCAACTTTCCATCTAGAGAAGTTTGACGACTACACGCAGCAGGATCCGGTCCTCTGGTGGGAAGCATTCACGATGCAACTTCGGATTCTGCCTGTCGCTAAGCATGCGTACATCGGCGCCCTGTTCATGAACTCAAAGGGCGGATGTCAGATCTGGTTGACCCACCTGGCAACCTCTCACGACGTCGACGTACCAGACTTGAAGGACAAGATCACATGGGAGGAACTGACATGACTGTGGAAGAAATGGTTCATCGTCGACGACGCGCCGACAGTTGCCATCAACCGTCTGTTCACCATGTCACAGGGCAACACCGCAACATGAGACTGGCTCACGAAATGGCAGAAGATTGTGACAGTGCCCAATTTGGACTTGCCATTCACGCATCTGCGCCGTGAGTTTTACAACAGGTCCTGTGCTGCATTGAGCCAGGCTCTTGGTGATCGCGAGCAGTATTCCTTCTTCACCGAAATCATTGACAAGGTGAGGGAGATCATCAAGACCAACAGATCAGCTGCACACGAAAAGTCAACATGGCAGCCGACCTATGTGGAGAAGGTACGAACTGGTCCGCGACAACAGCACTTCGCTGCAGTCCAGTCGGACAGTGGAGATAACCCAGCAGCCACTCCAGCAGCAGGTGACGGAGATCAGGTGGCTGCTGTCCAGCCGTGAAGCAACAACAAGTCCCGCAATAATGGGAAGGCGAAACCAGCATCGCAGGCCGGAAATGGATAGCCTCCATGGGTCAAGTTCGACTTGGCCGAGGCGGAGTACAAGGTTCGCGGCCGCTACGGCAGTTGCTATTGGTGCAACAGCACCAAGCACAAGACCTCCCTCTGCCAGGATCAGGGCAAGGAGGACCCCGCCTCAACTCGGGAAACTGAGTTCTGCGGAAGGTGAGGCGACTCCACCTTCTACTCCGCCAGATTCGGCCGCCTGGCTAGCGGCCTCCTGCACATCTGGGGAGGATGCGAATGTCGCAAGTCCTCGGTACACTAACGAGGATTATGCTGTCCACTTGGTTCCACCGCTGGACCAACCGCTCCACGTGCAACAATCTACCACATGCACGGTTTCATCACCATCGGCAACCGATTTGGCAGCTTCGCTGCCATCAATCGTCGGGGATTCATCGTCGCGGTCAAGACTTGAAGTGCTCGACCCTCTGACGTTCACGGACTTCCAGAGGATGCCCGTTCCCCCGAGCGGACGATTGCCGAAACCGCATTGCAATGTGCTCATGGCACAACTGCGGGATTACTTGCACACTGCAGTACCAGCTCCGTTGATGGACGTCGGAGTAGGGGTTGTCGACCTTCACGCTTACATTGCGAAGATCGACCGCGAGTTCAAGACGCAACGGTACGACGACATCGACGCACCATTGCTATACGTACGCATTCAGATCGGAGAGGCGACCTGTAACGCCTTGATCGATTGCGGAGCATCTCGCAACTACATCAGTTAGGACTTCATGGTACGCGCCGGCCTCGACCCACGTGTCCGGAGGAAGTCTCAGCCTACGCAAGTCACTTTGGCAGACGGTCATACGCACAAATCCATCGACCGTTGCATTGATGTCGTCCCCGTGTGCTTTGCCCCTCACGCAAGTGAGGCGGTGTCCTTTATTATTCTGGACACCAAGTTCGACATGATCTTGGGCATGTCATGGCTGCGAAGCGAGGATCACCCGGTGAACTTCTTCCACCGCACCGTTCACATTCGTGATCGGAACGGAATATTAGTTTCATGCACGGTACGTCTTCCTCATCCTTCGATCAGCTGCCACGTGGTATCCGCCGCAAGCATGCGAGCTTCCATCATCAGAGACGACATCGAGGAGATAGGGGTGTGTTTTCTCCACGCCCTCCCGCCCCATGACACTTCATCGACAGACTCACCTTCGGATCCACGCATCACTGAGCTTCTTGACACCTACTTCGACGTGTTCGAAGGCCCGCACGGAGTAGTACCGGATCGACCCATCCGCCACGAGATCATCCTCGAGGACGGGGCCGTACCTCCGCGCGGTTGCATCTACCGAATGAGCAAGGAAGAGTTAAGTGTGCTTCGGGCACAACTCGACGACCTTTTCGAGAAAGGTCGGATTCGGCCTAGCTCATCGCCACACGATGCTCCTGTTCTCTTCGTCTGGAAGAAGAACAAGGATCTGCGGTTATGCATCGATTATCGCAAGCTCAACGCCCAGATGATCAGAAACGCCGGCCCTTTCCCACGCATCGACGATCTTCTCGAGCGACTGGGCGGCGCCAAGTTCTTCTCCAAGCTCGAACTCAAGTCGGGATATCACCAACTCGAGATTCGCAAGGAGGACCGTTACAAGACCGCGTTTAAGACGCGATATGGGCATTTCGAATGGCTGGTTATGCCATTTGGCCTTACGAATGCCCTGGTTACTTTCCAAGCGGCTATGACAACGGAGTTCCGACACATGCTGGATCGATACGTACTTATCTACCTCGATGACATCCTGGTGTACAGCCGGAGTTTGGAGGAGCATGTGGAACACCTGCGCACCGTTTTGGAGTGGCTGCGACAAGCCAAGTACAAAGCCAGCGATAAGTGCGAATTCGCACGGCAGGAGCTGGAGTACTTGGGACACTATGTGACGCCGCAAGGCATCCGTCCGCTTGCGGACAAGATCGAGGCCCTACGAGTATGGCCCGAGCCCACCAACACCACGGACGTTCGTTCATTCATGGGGTTGGCGGGCTACTATCAGCGATTCATCACCGGATACTCCAGGATTACTGGACCTATGACGAGGTTACAGTCGCCAAAGGTGCCATTCATATTTGATGACGACGCACGCCAGTCATTCCAAGCACTTAAGACGACTATGCTCATGGCACCCGTCCTTAGCATCTATGACCCCACCTTGCCGACGAGAGTGACTACGGAGGCTTCCGGCTATGGCATTGGGGCAGTCTTGGAACAGCACGATGGCGATGACTGGCACCCTGTGGAGTATTTCAGCCACAAAGTGCCTCCCATCAACTCGCTTGATGATGCAAGGAAGAAGGAGCTACTCGCGTTCGTCATGGCTCTCAAGCGATGGCAGCACTTCCTCCTTGGGCGTCGTAGGTTCACATGGGTTACAGACAACAATCCATTGACTTACTTCATCGACCAGTTTGACTTCACACAGAAACATCTTCCCGGCCTCTCAAATCGCGTAGCAGATGCACTCTCGCGAAGACCTGATCTTTGCGCTATGACACATCATGCCTTCGCATTCGATGAGGAGCTTCAGCGACATTTTATCTGGGCATATGAGTCTGATCCGGACTTCGCCACGCTGTATGCACAACTATCTTCGGATCACCCGCCAGCCAGCCACTATCGCATTGCCGACGGGTACTTGCTCCTCCACTTGAGAGGCAAGGACTTACTACGTGTCCCACGCGACCGCCGTCTTCGGACTCGCCGACCATTTCGGAGTCAATCGCCGGCCATTTCGGAGTCAACGGCACGATTGCATGGCTTCCACAGCGATTCTGATGGCCCGATCTCATTACCGATGTCACTCAGTATTGCGACTCTTGCGAAGTTTGCCGACGCAGCAAGCCCCGCAACCGCAATCCCTACGGCGAGTTACGCCCGATGCCTATCCCACGGGAASCTGGTCTCTCCATTGCCATGGACGTCACCGGTCCGTTTCCCCGCGACCGGCTCGGGCACGACGGCATCCTCACGGTGGTGGACCGATTGAGTAAGTATGCGCGTTTTCTTCCTTGCAAGTACTACTCCACGGCTTCCGAGCTGGCACGCCTCCTGCACACTGGTTGGATTTGTGGCCACGGTGTACCAGAAGACATAATCAGCGACCGCGACACTCGCTTCATGTCGGCATTTTGGACTTCTCTCATGCAGGAGTCCGGCACGAAGATGAAGCCAAGTTCGGCTTGGCATCCACAGATGGACGGGCAAATGGAGCGGGCACATCAAACTGCTCAAATGATGCTTCGTACGCTCATCCGTCCTGACCAGAAACATTGGGTTGACCGCCTCCCCGACATCGAGTTCGCCTATAACACTTCGGTGCATCCGGTGATCGGCGTGACTCCATTCGAGTTGCACCACGGTGGACGGAAAGGCCGGATCTTCGCCGACCTTCTCCTCCCTCGACCAACCGACATTGACGCTGCCTGCTCTCCCGCTTCCGTCCAGAAGTACAGGGAATTGCTGACTCAAGCCCGCGCAAACATGCAAAAGGCTCAAGTCCGCATGCAGCAGCAAGCCAACAGGTGTCGCGTACCATGTCCCATCCACGCCGGTGATCTGGTTTGGGTCTCCGCGGAAGAGTTTGCACTGGAGCAGGATGTTTCACGCAAACTGCTTCCCAAGTGGTTTCGACCTTGGTCTGTGACAGCAGCCGCGGGCGATGAGCCCGATGGCCCTTCATTTGTGATCAACATTCCAGAGCATCTGACGGTCCATCCGGTCTTCCACGCCTCGAAGCTGGCAACACACACGCCAGCCAAGAGCGACGACTTTCCGGGTCGACGATCGCAGGACCCTCCTTCTATGGATGGTCATCAGGAAGTTGACCGCGTCATCACAGATCGCAAGTACTGCAGCAAGCCGCGGCAGTACAAAGTCACATTCAAAGCATGCGATCGCGACGACACTCGGTGGATTTCAGGCGCAGATTTGAAAGCATCCG